GGCATGTACAACTACTAAGATGTCTTACCTGGTCATTTAAGCCAACGTTTACCATCATCATTTCACCAACCATTTCAATCCAACTAGTGCCACATGGATTGTGCGAGTTTACCCCTCTCCTGAACCACACCTGTAATAAATGAAATTAAAGTTTGGATATGCCTTACCTACAGGGAGGAACTTAGAGTTAAAGAAGTGGTTGGGAGTCAAGGCTCTTGGGTCTTATTCTCTTACCACATGGCCTTGAGCTTATCTCTTTGCGTTAGTTTTCCTAACAGTTAAGTGGGGATAATACTGTAATCCTTTATCACCTTTGCAAAGTGTACTGTGGCAGTCTTATTAATACTTATAAGAGTGAATAATGTCCTTTACACAGCACAGGACCATGCAGTTGAGGAATGGGTTCAATTGTTAGACTTGCCCCTGGAGTACCTGACTATACACTTTAAAGGTACCAACCCACCTCCAAGCTGAAAATATCCCTGGACCCCCAGGCCTGTGCTTTTATCTGCCTTCTGCCACTTGAAGCACATACTGGTGTGTGTGTCAAACATGGCTGCTAGCAGTAGCTTGTAAGGCTTAGATTCTCAATGGGGCCTAAGAGACTTAGATGGATAGATGGGTGCTTAATTCCCTTAGGTTCCTTTCAAAATCCTAGCTACAATTTCTACCATCTTACCTTATCAAAAGCTACCCTTTGCTAATTTATATATTAAAGGACTTGGCTATGAATAAAGGAGAGGATGCCAGATTTTTCATTTGCACTATGGTCCCTTTGCACCATTCTGCCAGTACCATGGCAGTTTTTCAGAAGTAAATGCCATGTCCGCCAGGTTTAGTGCCCCTTTAGAGTGCCTTCACAGTGTAAAAGGCTTACATCATGGTATAAATAAGCCTCAAGCCCATCCTACATAGAACTCTTCTCAGAAGTTAGAGGGCAAGTAGTCTCTGAGAGTCACCTAGCTACTTCCTGAGAAAATTTTAGTTTCTTTGGCACACTGGGAAATTACTCTCTTACAGCCCGACCATACATGCCTAAAAGGCTCTTAATTAATGTCTCTGCTTTCAAGCCCCCCTTT